TTTAATTCTTAATAGAAAAATCAACAAAACTAAGCACTTCATTAATATCATCTTTCAAATATTCCAGGTAATCAACTAGTGATATCATTTATCGAAACAGATGTTTTTTTTTTCTTTCAAATTTTTTATCATTAAAAAAAAAAAAGAAATAGAATTGTCGAGAAACCATTGATTGGTAAGAATATTGAGAAGAAATCAGTATTATTATGATTACTATTTGTCATAGATTCCGAATTTGTGACATTGTCAACAACACAAGCAACAATATTCAAAAAATCTGATAAGTTTCTTCAGGGTTTGTATATTGACTTCATCTTATTTTCTTTCTTTGTTCATTCTGTAATGAGATAAGATTGTCAAATACATTATGGTAATTTACTCTCATCTATATTCTTTTGTGATTTGTTCAATGATAGATACTTTGGTTTTTTTCTTTTTATTTTTGAGAAGAATGTAATATAAGTATTTGAGGAGTTAATTTTTATTTTGTTTTTCAAGAAAGTCGATATCAATCAATTAGTTTTATATTTATTTTTGTGATTACATTATTAGTTATATTAGTTTATCTTATTTATAAATGTAAAAGAACAAAAGGTAATTTCATATACAAAAAAAAAAAATTTTATAAGTTCTTCTTTTTTTTTTTGTCTTTCATTTTAGTTTTTAATATAACATCAATTCAATAATATTCATTATTTAATATAGCTATTTATATTTCTTATTTCATTTGTAAAGGTAAATTAAGATTGTAAATATGAAAATAAATAAATAATTAGGAGATAAAATAAAAATTACACTTGACAAGATGAAGTTTTTCTCTATTCTTAAGGGATTCTTCTTCTTTTTTTTTTCACTCTCTTCAAATCGTCACGCCAAATAAAGAAGACTATTGTTCATGTCTTTAATGATCTTCATATGTTGCTGTTTTTCTCTTTTTATAAACATCTTGTCAAACATGCGCGACAATGCATACATATGAGAAATTGGATCGGTTCTGAAGAGACGTCATCATCATTTTATTCTCATATATTCTTTCTTTCTTTCTTTCTTTTTCCATTAGTTTTGGTTTGTTCTTCGTCACAATTACGGATGATTGTTTCCTATTTCCTCATTTTTTTTCTTCAAGACTTACTATTTGATTGACTTATTCTAACCGTCTTGATAATTATCACTAAATATAGATTTAAAAAAAAAACAAATCACTAATGAATCACAGTATCATGTCAAATTTTAATGATAGACCATCAGAATGGTTTCGAATATTTCTTATTATATTATTCATAATTATTGTTCTTATTGGTTTAATTGGTAATATTCTTGTTTTATTATCTGTTTTAACAAATCATATTAAAATTCGTCGTTCATCAACAAATCTTCTTCTTGTTAATATGTCATGTGCTGATTTAATTATTCTTATTTTTAATATATTTGATATAATACAATTTTCATTTGATCATTCATGGCCAACAGCTTGGTATCTTGGTTTATCATTATGTAAAATAATACGTTTTTTACAAGTACTTGGTTGTTATGTTAGTGTACAAACATTACTTATTATTAGTATTGAAAGGTTAAATTTAATATATATATATACGATTTTCTTTTATTTTTTTGATGACAATATTTTTAGATATATTGCAATAATTCATGCTGTAAAAATTTCTCATTCTAATCGACGTAAACGTTTATTATTAATATTTATTTCAATATGGTCTATTGGAATTATAATGGCATTACCGAATTTATTTTTACTTACATTACATCCACTTACTAATCGTCCAGAATATTATGTATGTGGTTTATCGGATCATTATACACATCCATATTTTGCTTTATTTTATAAATATACTGAATCAATAGTTTTCTTTTTTATACCCATATTTGTACAAGTAAGTTAATAACTTATGAATAAAATTAATAACATATATGTATATTGATCTATTTATTCTATTTTGAGTACAAAAAAAGTAATCCTGAAATAGCATAAGTTTCTTTCATGTTGTATTTGATAGGTGAGATTTCTTCTTTTTTTTAATGAAAGTCTAGATTAAAGACATTAATTTATCTAATGGGTATTTTTTGAACAAAAAGAACCAGGTGTGAATAAAACAGCATGTATAATAAGAGTGATTAAGTAAAAGAAAAAAAAAAGAGAATATCTAATAAGGTCTAATACAACATTATCAACTAGAATGAATCTTAATAGAGAATTCAGATTAAAAAATATCAAAAGGTAGACTTTTTATACTTCATTGAATTTCTCCCTATTATTTCTTTTTTTTTTTACTTTAGAAGATAAGAATTTGACTTTTCTTTAATAATAAGAAGAAAGTACAGACTTTATCATATTACATGATATATTAATAGTAAATAAAAAAAACAGAAATTAAACAATAAAAAATATATGTTTTTTTGTTTTCACAACAATCTGTAGTAAGAATAAATTATGTTTTCGTTGGTTTTGTACATATTGATAGACATCAGTTCATTTTCATAAATATTTAATTTACTATTCTAGGCAATACTTTATATACTTATTTGTCGTAAAATTTTTTTGGTTGATCGTGCTGTACAAGCACATTTTCGTGCTGAACAATTACAATGTTCAATAAGTGATTCTCATCGACAATATTCAGGAACAAAAACAAGTTCATCACTTCCGACACCATTAACTGATAATAATTTAAGTTTAATGGCAATGATGACACCACGTTCACAATCTAATTTAATGCCAATATCAAATTCAACAAATAAAACTGGTGATACAGCACGTAAACGAGCTATTATTATGTTATTACTTGTTACATTATTATATTTTATTGCATTTTCACCAGCACAAATTAATTTTATTTATACACAAATAAATCGATTACATCATTTATATGAAAATCGTCTTTTTTTTATTATATCAATATTATTAGTTTTATCATCAACAGCTTTTAATCCAATATTATTTTATATATTTAGTAAATTTTTTCGACATAAATTTAATATTATTTTACGTCGTTTATGTCCAATATGTCGTATACATTTACGACGACAAAATGATTTTCCAATGATTTAATGAAATAATCCTTATAATCATGATTTCTTTTTTGTTTGTTTTTCTGGAAAATTGTAATAGAGTACGAAAATAAAAGTCTTATATACATAAAGAGAAATGATTTAATTATCAAAGAACTGAATTGACATAGAATGGTTCAAAATATTTTTTTGGAGCATTGTTTTCTTTACACTCGATCAACAAATGTATTTTGAAATTTGATTTCGCATCGTTATAACCTTACGATAGGGATTATATATCATGTTATCTCATTGAGAACGCCATATCAGATTGGATTATTGTGTATTAATGTTCCGATAATAAGTTCATATTTTATTTTCTGTAACCCTAACAGATAGGTATCATTGATTTGATTTAAATATAGCAAGATTTTCTTGAATGATTTCAATTGACATTTAGTTACATTTTTTGGTTCGCTGATGTGTGGTATCTATCTTGTACGAAACTTTGTCTATTTTGGTTCCTCTAATAATACTATAGAATAGATTAATTTCAAATGTTATTCATCGAATGATAATGTGTGTATTTTCCTCAGTTAACGTATGCAAAATACTCTATCCTGCCAAATAGCAAAAATTCAAGATAGCTCCGAGACTGTTTGAATCACTACACTATACAAAAGATATTTTTCAAAATTAGAATAACTCTTGGATAGATGAATTTCATTTTTTTTTTAAATATTATTCTGCCTTTCTTTCTCTTGTCTCTTTTATGTTAATTTTAATTCTTTTATGAAATGATTACCTCTAGTCAACATTCAAGTTATGCTAACGCAGACTGCTGATATGAATAAACATAATTATTACAATCACCAATAGATTTTCTTTACCATGCTTCATACACCGTAGAGTATGGATGTGGGTGATTCTTCTTTTTTCATCTGTTATCACACCCACACCTTAATATAATTATCAAACATATGTCATACTTTTCTTGCGCTCAAACTATCTGAACAAATTCTTTCGCAAGACCAGAACACATTGTAGGGACTGGGTTTCGTTTTTATAGAGAAAAATACTGAAGCGTAACTGAATCCATGTCAGGCGAATTATTTATGAGCGGCAGCATATTCGCTCATAATGCACATCATGATTATAATGTGAGTCTAAAAAAAACAATCGTTTTCGAGAACTGCATAATAAAATGATGTGCATCGTCTGAGGTCATCAATCAATTATGTCCATAAATATACGAATCTAAAGTAAGATACAGTATGAATCGAAAAAAAGAAGAGTATCTTTATCAAAATATTTATGCGGTTTTGGCGGTGAACAGTGAAGAAAAGAAAGCTACACCCACACCTCCGAACTTGAATAATAAATACCAATTAGATCCTACATAATTGTAAGAAATTAACATATTGTGAATTTGTTCATTCGCTACCTAATGCAGCAACTTCATTATCAAAGTCGACAATAGTAGATCTTATTGCTTAGACAACATCAAAAGAAGGGTGTGGGTGTGAATGGGTGGATGCGAGTGCAGGTGTGTGATATCTCTTCATTTACACGCACACGCACACCCACAATATCGATATTTGATAAAACTATTTATGCTTTCTGAAGAACTATAAATGTACATGTATGTCATCCTGGTGCATACACGATATTTTCTCTGTATAGAAATGTTACAAAGAGAATTCAACTAAAGAGAAGCTGATCATAAAACTACAATGACAGTTCTATAAACGAATTACACGATCATGATAGGTATTAGCATTTTCTTAATACAGAATTCACACGAATGCCAAAGCATTAAATTATTTGTTTAACACTAATGCAAAAGCATTAAAAAAAGTATTAATTAATGCAATGTTAATGCTAATCCGACACCCCTATAATGTATCATATATTGTATTAAATGATCATCCATTTACTTAATATAATAACGGCTCAAGACATTGAACAGCTTGATTTTGTATTTAGCCACATGTATCTTAGAATAATTTTAAAATACCTTGGACAATATGATGTTGACATATATCTTCATTATTATCTTTGATATCATTATCTTGTTCAATTAATTGTTCAAGATAATTATGACGTTCACTAGATGTTGATGAACGATTAAGTATTCTAGCTTGTATAACTTTTTGATTAACATTGTATTTATATCTTGCACTAGCTAAGATTTTTTTTCTTCAATTTTATTAACAGTCATTAAACGTAAAACTCGTACTTCATTTTTTATCCTATAAGAGATATACGATCTTGTGCTTGTTGATCTTAATGTGAATTTCAATTAGAATCAAATAAAAGGTAGTGGGTGTCAGTGTAAAAAAAAACATTCACATCCACACACTCTCAAACGACATTGTGGGCCACTTTAAATACGCGTGTGACTCGTGCCAAATTACTTGAAATTTGATCAATGCCCTTAGTTCTAAAGTACCATTTATAATTGAAAATGTACAATACTGTGATTGACACAAAGAAGCATATTATTTATCTCAAGAACTGGAGAATTGATTTGACAAACTTTGGAAATTACTATTCAACTTAAAGAAGAGGATGAGCTAAAGGAAGACTATATGACGACATTCATCATTTGAATCACATTTATTCGTTTCTAGTGGCATACAATCACGTTCATCTCTGCCATTGTTAGTCAGGAATACTGCTACAAATCTGACGCCAATTCAAACAAAATGACGAATTACATGTTTTCAAGCCCATATACAACAAGTTGACTCGCTCATAAAATTTCCGTGTATAACAATAAGAGTAATCAATCGAAAAGAATTCAAGTGAATCATTGACCGATTTTCGCAAAAAAAGATATATGTCGTTCCTCATCTTTTTGGAAAACATTTGATATTCAGATACTTTAATAAAACATGTACTTACACATGTTTTGGAACAGTGAGCGAAGGTAAATGTTTTTATGGCAACATTCTTCCATTTAATACTAAAACTGAATATTTCATAAATAGAGAGATATTTTCTTTTCTTTTTTTTTGAATGATACGTTGCGTGGCTCTCATGAAAAGTTTCACGCCAAGAGTATGCTCACTTTTCCAATAGCTCCAAACATGAACAGACACTACCACTGCTCTTTCTATCGCTTGTATATTTTTGCTTGAAGTAAACACTTTTTTCAAATAATCTGTGCTGAGAGTGAGGATGAGAATATGAAGATATGATACCCTCACCAACCCTCGTGCTATAGAAATTCTAAATTGTGATTCGAGAGTCAAATGTAAAACTTATAAATCCAAAACGGGACTAATTCAAGAGTTCCATGCATTCACAATGAAGAACAAATACTACGTGATATCGGCTTGTTTCTTTCAACGGCAAGGGCAAAAAGAATGAGACAAAAAAATTAGCAAACTCAACACGAACCGTATTCAGACAAGTTTATTTTCAGCAGTAGGTAAAACTTCATCGGTGAGCACATATTTGAAATCGACAATTGTAACAAATATGTCTCCACTTTTCTACACATGTATTTTGACAATTTTGATAGATTTTGAACAAATTATCGGCTGTTCACTACTGATAAGACATTATTATAACTGAAAATTTAGCATTCTGTGATGAGAAAAATAATTATGACATACAAGTGAACTTATTGGCAGTATATAGTTTATTACGTAGAAATGAAAGAATCAAACTGCATAGTCTATTTCTAGTTTTTCGATGATTTCAAATAGCCTAGGAGATAAATAATCACATTGGACATTTTTTGGAACGAGTTTTGATGATTTCAGTAGTAACTTCTTTTACCGAATGTATTAGAGTCGTTTTTACAGTAACTGATGCCATTAGTGATTCTCATTTAATTGTTCTACTGTATGACTTTCAAACAGAACCGATTCCGCAGTTAAACATAAAGCTATCGTAGCTTATTATTTGAATCTAAATTTCGACAGTCAAATGTGTCGTTTTATGCAAATTGGCATGGTCACTCAAGATTAAAAACGTATTAAATAAATGGTGTAAAAATGATCGAATGGTTTTCACTGTCTTTTATGATTTCAATAGCTGCCTGTTTATTTCAACAACAAGAGTTTATATAGTGCAATAGCGAGCTTCAGAAAGGGCCGGAGAAACAAGTGCATAAACAGAGAAATCATGACAGTTGGTCTCAGAAATCTTCATAGGCCAAATGCAACTCATGCCGCTCCAGTTAAAATAAACCGTCTGGTTCGCCGTCTTTCCCACTGTTGGCTCAGTAGGATGCTTAAGCCAAACTAGCTCCTTCTAATCCACAACGTGGAGAAGAAACCGAATAGTTAGCAAGACGAGTGCCTGCAGCACCCTCAAACCGTACCTACGTAGGCATATTGCTAAAATATGATTTATCACTCTCAGCCCCAAGATTTGTATTAGTTATGCGACGAGTGCCATCCGTTATTGATGTGTAATTCGAACATTGAGGCGGAAGAAAGCTCGACATTGATGTTGTTGCCAGAATGTACTAAAGTGCACAAATGTAATCAAATAGCTAACATCAGTTTGGTTGTCAAACATCGAAAACTTCAAACCCGCACTGTGGTATTGTGTGCATGTGTTTCGTATTATAATGTACTCAGCTCGAGTTCTAAAAAATCTTTACACTTGAATTTCCAAGATTTTCTATGTTCTTTTTAGAGACAACAAATGGAATGTCATTGTACAACAGTGATGCAAATGAGAAGCGAAAAAAAAATATTTTATAAATTTTCTTGCTAGCAATCCAGCTTTTCCTGTAAAAAAAACGAGGTTTGACTAAAATCTTTGTGAACCTTTCAAAAACATTTTCTTCAAGGAGACGGTTTAAAAGCTTCCGTGTCGAGGAGTCACTGCTGTTCCTTACAGAACTAGTTGGAGATTTATTAATTGTGTCAAGATTTAAATGTACCAATATTGTACGTAGGGATGTATTAATAACAGTATGTCCTATCAGCTGTTTCATTCTAGAACAAATTTTAAAAAAGCTCACTTGATGTTTCTTTAGTCGTTGATAATGTCGTTATTACTGTAATTGTTGGTTCCGGCCAGGGTTGTCGATTGTTTTTAGGAGTGGGGGGGGGGATAAAAATTTGGCAGAAAGTCAATTTTTTTACAATTTTTAGTTCATCGAGAAATCTTTTCAGAGTAACAAACAAGATCATGTTCGTCAAAAAGCAAAGACACTTTCAAATATTTTTAAACTTTCAAAAAATGAAGACATTTTAAGGTGCGAGCAATTCAAACTTCAAGTAATTTTTTTTGCCTTTTTTTATATCATTTGATAGAGTGTGGGCCGCTGATCACGAAAAACTTGAAGGACGTCGTTTTTTTCGAAAAAAAAACGATTTCAAGGTATGCAAAATTTTCTGCTATATTCTTGTTTCCAGCTTCTAAAGATATATTTTTCAGATTCAGCATCAAAAACTGAGTGCAGACAAGTTATTAGACCGACCCCGATCTCAAAAAAAATTTTTGATGATGGCGCTTCGAATCGCACCGAGTGCAATACGCATTGGTCGATTTTGTAAGCCTATCTAGATTTTTAAGTAAGAGATGAAGTCAAATGTTTTATCTCATTTAACTCATCATACCACCAGTCACAAAAGAACGCATCGCGTCTTTTTTTTCTTTTCTTCGTTGAGAAAAGCCTGTTTTTCTGAATTTTGGGCTAAATAGATGGAATTTGACTCGTATTTCTCCATTTTCTTCATAAAAACTAAGTTTTCGTGCAATAATCTTATCATATTCGGAATCAGTACGAAAAACTGAATCCATTGATATATGATTTAACCTTTTCCATTGACTTCAGTTTTTTAATTTTCGGAGAAGACCTGGCTGAAATTTTCATCAAAAAATTAAAGGTGACGAAATTTTTCGAAACATACATTAATTGATTCAGTTTTTCGCAGTGCTTCCGAATATGATAAGGTTATTGCACGAAAGCTTAGTTTTTATGAAGAAAATGGAGAAATACGAGTCAAATTCCATCTATTTAGCCCAAAATTCAGAAAAACAGTTCTCAACAAAGAAAAGAAAAGAAAAAAAACGCGATGCGTTCTTTTGTGATTGGTGGTATGATGAGTTAAATGCGATAAAATATTTGACTTCATCTCTTATGTAAAAAAAACTAGATAGGCTTACAAAATCGGCCTATACGTATTGCACTCGGTGCGATTCGAAACACCATCATCAAAAAATTCTTTAGATTGGACTCGATCTAACAACTTGTCTGTACTCAGTTTTTTATGCTGAATTTGAAAAAAATATCTTTACAAGCTGGAAAAAAGAAGGAAGCAGAAAAGTTTGCACATTTTGAAAACGATGTGTTTTTTTGGTATTTTTCGACCCGGAAGAAGCATTTTCTGGCGCTAAAAAGTAGTTTTTCGTTATCAGCAGCTCACACTCTATCAAATGACGTAAAAGAAAGGTGAAAAAAAAATTTTGCTTGAAATTCGCATTGGCAGCACTTTATATATAACATATTTATTGTTCACTGTGCCGATGACGAATGGGTTCGTTGAAATATAAATTATTTTGAATAAAATAAGTTCAATTCACTTTTACACGTCGTATATTGGACACAGTTGGAATCACAACCCGACAATGAGCAGTAAAGCAGACCGAAATTCACCAAAACTTTTAGGCAAAGAGTACATATGAGCTTTCTGCCAAAGAAAAGTACTCTCAAGTTGATTTTCTGCGGGAATTTTGCAGAAAATATATTATTGATGCTATCTATCTATTTTTGCCAGAAAGAGGGATAATATGACTAAACTGTTCGCATTGCTACCACTAATCAATAAGTATGCATGCATCGCGGAGAGGAAATTTTGAGAAATTCATCTTCTTAAGTTTTGTTTATACATAGGTTGTACGAAAGGGAGAAAAAATATTTTTCAGCAGAAAAACGTAGAAATACAGCGGAAAAAAATTGGCAGAAAGGATCCGAATTTAGCGGGGGGAATTCCCCCCCCCACCCCCCCCCCTAATCGGCAAGCCTGGTTCCGGCACTGAAAATAGAAAATATAGAACATTTTCTTCAGCGATCATTTACAATCATTATTGCATTTTAATTCGAATATTTTCAATGCAATGAATTATTTTTGGCTGGATATGAAGAAAATTTGAATTTTTTAAATATGTCTAATGTTTCACACTCCACACCCACATCCTGGATTTTCTTCGAACAAAAAGTACACTAAAGCAAATCTGTCAACATTGGTAAAGTGCAGTCATGACAAGTTTTCTTTATCAGCCTTTCTATTATACGCTTGGATTTGATTGCTGATTGTCAACAGTTTAATGCGAATGCGTGAGTGACCGAGTAACATCATCTCTAATTTTATCATTAATAAGGTTCAAGGAAGTGAGTGTCAAAACATTATAGAATGAGAGAACATTTATGTGAGCAGCAACGTTTGGCATACGACGAAGGGGTAAACATGATTCTTTGTAAACATTATGTAATATATTCTTTAGTACTAATGTAGTATGAGTTCTCTGATTGTAAGTGTTGTCGAAAGAAATATTTGGCTGACAAAATAAGCTATGAAATCGGGATTGTTAAGTGATAACACTGCTGTTTGCTTAGATAGATCTGTTAAATCCACCTATTAAAATGCTTTATAGATAGATAGGACATTGAATTGCAAAAAAAATAGTTTAAATGAAAAATTAATATGATCAGCTGACGATAGAATTCTGTTTCGAACTCCTATTGTCGAACTTAACGGTAAGCACTAGAACTTCGGCTAAAATATAACTAGGTTTTTAACAAATGAAAGACATTCGACTAAATGAATTTGCACAATGTTGAAAAAAACGAGACCATTCTAAATATTTCATTCACCTTTAATCACAAGAATTTACTTAGAGATACACTAAGACTACCTGAACACTGTAAATATTATAGATAGTTCATACGAAGTTCTTTTTTTATTAATATACTATTATGTGAAGATCGTTATTTAAACGCTAACATATTAATAGTATGTAAAAATGAATAGAAACTATTTTGATTAAAAAAGATTTTTTAAAGGGTTATATTGAACATTCACCCAAAAATTTAATAGATTGTTTTATGCTAACAAAACATTGAAAATACAAGAAACTTCTGTGTTAAGATTATATTGATAAAAAACATGAGTGTAATTGGTTAAAAAGCAGGAATCAAGATGTAAATATTTGAATCAATTGGTAATAATTAAGTAATTACATTCGAAAATATTGAAATACTTCTCCTGATGAGATCAACGCTTGCTGCTCTATAAGAAACATAGATGCCTGTATTTTCCTTTATTTCACTTTTACTTTTCACAAATTATGATTAAAACATATTCCGATTAGATTAACTGATGACTCAGGATCACACACAATAGGATAGTATACTTCTTAGAAAATGTAGATCTGAATGGCATGGTAATAACTGTAATAGAAATTACCACCAGAGTCCGATGAATATGCACAGTTGACAATTCAGGATGCCAACTGCAGAAATGTAAACATACTTGTAGATGACAGTAGTATAGGGTGTCAGTGTACAATCAAAGATACACACCCACACTCATATCTACATGCCATACGCATACTCACCCACACACCGACACCCAAAACTCGCATCTCCATTTTCATATCAGTTTACGTTTTTTTTGACTTTCTTGAAAACAAAAACTATCTTTATAGAGTACGTTCTAAATACCGTATTCGAATAGCATTGTTTCAAGCAGAACAAAACGCACTAACCAACAAAAAAAGCGAAGTCAAAATTATGCAACACGTATAAAACCGATCTATTCCGAATATCTCGATCTGACACTAGTCTTACACAAACTAAACCAAAAAAAAAATTAATTTTTATAATGCATTTATACTATTAAAATCATAATCATCTTCGGAATTTAATTTAAAACAGTATTACACACAGTCGATTTTCTTTAATTTCATTGAGAATCAGAACAACAACCGTAGAAACGGTCAGAACCACAAAAATTAACTTATCTCGTCAATTTCACGTGTAATCTAAACATTCCTACCAATTGAAAGACATATCACCATTATATTCAAACTACTTTCCATCGAACCAGAAAAAAAACATTATATCATGAGACAAACGAATCAACTGATGCCAAACTATCATTCATCGATACACAATCCGAAAACAAGAACACTATCATCTTTCACCTTACAATCATTACACAAAATTTGTATCTAACCATCAATACTTCCTACGCTTCACTTCTCAACAATCAGCGAATCTCTTTCATACATACAAAAGTCAGATATCATGAAATAACGGAACGTAAACACGAATATTTTGTTCCAAAATTCGCATCCTCTTCCACATTCACAACCAAACACGAGGCTGCCCATTTCACGACATCAACATAGACTCCTTATTATCATGCGAGTCTTCAGCTACTACTTACTAATTTCTAATAAACGCAAAACATCTTACTACAGCGTCAAAATTCTAATAATCGTACCAACCAAAAAAAATTTCCACATTCCAAAATATGACAATTAATACATAAACATGAACTTCTTTTCTGAATTTCACGAAAATCAGATCATTTTGGAATAGATCTCAAGATAGTTT